CACCTGTTACTACTAGCTTCTTGTTACTACTAGTAAGGCACCTGTTAGCAAGGTGAGCGAAGGTCATGACCAGCTCCGCCTCGAGCTCAAGGAGGCGGTCTCCAATGCCTCGCGGCGTTCACACGCGGCGCGCGTGGCGCGTGGAATCGCTGTGTGGAGCGCGAAAGCGAAACGGCGGGAGAGGATGGGCTGGGCCAAAAAGTGAAAGGCCTCCAGCAGTGGAAAATGGACTCACACATATAGCGTGATGTACTTTGATTTGTTCTTTTTGATGGATCCAGTGCAGTTGGCTTGCACCCGTCAGATGTGACTATTGCTAGAAGATGCTTGAATCTTGAAGTGTCTTCCAGCATTGAGTCAAATATCAGACATCAACCTTGAGTCATGATCACAACATTCTTATTTGTTTGGAGCGGCCCCCCGGCCAGTAGCACGAACATGGGGTTGCTCTTTTCACAGGCTTGGTCCCTGATTGTAGTATGTTGTAGTTGTGAGGGGGATTGCCTGGCTCTGTTGGTCGGCGCGTGTACATGGTTTGTACTGTCATAGAGTTACTGGGTGATTTCCCTGTTGTTCAGATCTGTGTGACAGCTGAGCCTGCCGAGAGCCCAAAGAAAGTTGAAAAAGATCGTAAAGTGCATGACTTTCGCCTGAGGTGACAAGATGAACACGGTGCAACTTCATTCGGAAAAACCTTTCTTAGTAGGTCAGGATTCTGTGGTGGCAAGGGCTTTGGCTGGTCCTTGTCCAACCTTGCGGCGACATAGCGACATCAAACATCATGCACATTCACCACCGTTTACCAGGCGATACTAAGATGACTGAGTGGAGACTTGATGATATGGCAAAGATTCATGATGTCCACTCCACAACCTTTCCCGCATACACTTACACACTGTCTTATTCACACAATTCCACACACACACACACACATATATATATAATATATATATATGTAACTTCTGTGGCTCAAGTCTCGGCTCAAGGCTCTCAGGGTCCTCGCCGCAGGGCACTTCACGACTTCACAGAGAAGGTCTTGGCAGGGGAGTACGGTGGCCTCTGCGAGCTTCCTGATCGAGCACCCATGAACACCTCATGGCGGAGATCCTCATGGACCAGGGCGTACCAGTGCTGTCAAGGCCCTACGTGTTCGAATTGGATCTGGGAAGACAAGGTATGTGAAGGATATGTTTGCCGGAAGTGTGGCTTGGCCTGGAGACAACCCACTCAAGGGTTCAGTCGACGCTCCCCTTCTCGGTCTTTGGGGCGTTTTGCACCACGACAGAAGCCGGTCTCTCCTCCTCCAGGACTGGGGAACAATCGCTCATCCAAGCTCACACAGGTTCACAAGGCAACTACTGACTTGTTGAGAGCCTCTTGGACTTCCTTGGATCCAAAGCTACAAGAACAGCTTGGGAACTTGGGCATCAAGCCAGTTCCTCCTAGCACGGACCCTGAAGACCTGACTCACGTGCTCAAGGAGAACATGGCCCAATTGCCCACTGCAGTCAAGGAACTGGTGGAACGCATCACTAAGCCTCCACCCGAGACTGAGAAAGACATGGCCCTCAAGCTCAAGGCCCAGGTCTCAGCTCTGCGAGACCTCTCGCACCGCAAGATGATTCTCCAGCAGAAACTCGACACAGCCAAGAAGGCTTATGGGGATATGCTGGAAGAGATGAAGGGCATTCACACCAAGTTGGAGGCGGAACAGGGAGCACTGAACACCACCAGTGCGACATACATGGAAATGGTGAAGACCACCAAACCGGCCAACGAGCTCCAAGAAGGGGAGGCCATGGAGGATACTGTGCCGGATGCCGTAGCAGGTTTCATTAACACCTTGGGAGTCAGTTTGACACCTGATCAAAAGGCCCAGCTCACCACGATGCTGAAACGGCCTTCGGCAGAAGCCACAGATGATGACATCAAGCGCCGCAAAACAGCTGGTGAGCCACAGCAGTGCGGGTAACAGGGTCGTGAACGGCCCTCTCAGCTCATCTTCAGCTTCTGACAAACCTGGGGTTGCTGGAATCTTTCAGCCCGGGGGTTTGGATCAAGAGAGTTGCAGGGACTTAGTCAACTCGTTTGATCCTTTTGCAGCGTGGGGCTCGAAGCAGGTCCAGTTTAGTCACGGGGGCTATGGACCTTGGCGAGCTCCACAACCTTTTAAACTGAGAGGAGGTGGATCACCGCACCCTCCTCCAAAGGGGCAGCAGCCATTGAGCCTAGGGGCACCGAGCTCTTCTACCTCAGTGCAGATCCTCAGGGATTCTGCAGAACGCGGGACCCCGTCGGCTCGTTTGGCTGCTCTTTTGATGGACATCATGGAAGAAGAGCACACGACTTCCTCTTCCCCCTTTTTGACACCGGGTCAGCAGGCCCTCTATGATCTTTGCAAGAAAGACCTTGACGCGTCGAGGCTCGATTTTGAGACTCACTGGTCACGAAAGCTAGCATCAGCTAGCTGGAGTTGCTCTTGCTTTAGCAAGTCAAGGGCTCGCAGCCTCGAGAATCATGAATCACGTGAAAACTTCACGTGTAGGGGG